TACTGAATTCAAAAAGAATTACCAGTTTTCGGCGATAATCGAATTAAACAAGAACCCTCCCCCCCGTCCCTTAAAAAAAACCCAAGCCTCTTTTACTGCTTATGCCTGACCTTCCCCACGGCTGCTTGAAGATCTCAAACATATGCTCCTAATTTCCTACTGAAAAAAGAAAAGAACATGGATTTATTTTCAATGCAAAACCAAACAAATAGTAGCATTCATCATGGAATTACGTTGGTCAAGAATTTTGTATAAATCAAACCCAGGCTAGAATGTTCCAGGCTTACCGGTGCGATCGCACGTTTTTGCAGCAGACTTGAAGTACTCAGGTCATTAACTGCATAAATAGTTGTTGCTTTACACCCACCTTTTGTGCTCGCTAGTGCAAATCACCATAAACTTCGCATGAAGTAAATGAACGATTTCCATGTAACGGTCGTTCTTTGAAAGTAACCTAGCTGTTCAGTGAGCAATTTTCCCGCCAAAACTTTTAATTGTCCATACGTGAGAACCACACATACCTGAAGGCTGAATCTGAAATATTTAAATTGTATTTGGGTAGGAAATATTCTCCCAAATTTTCAGCGTCCTAACTTTTCTGGTTCCCGAGTTAGTAGTTTTCCCGCCAGAACCTTCATACGTTCTTACGTAAGTACAACGCCTATCTGGAGGCTGAATTTGAGATCTTCAGCTCACACATGCACAGGCGATATCTCTGCCTGGTTTAAGTCGCTTACCTTGCCGGGTCCCCGAGATCGCTTTCCCGCCAAAAAATTTGTATATTTTTGGCAATTACTAAAGCTCGGCTCGGCTTGCTTTGACTCAGCCTCGGCTCACCCTGGTCGGCCTCGGCTACAGCAAATCGTGCAGCAGAGAGCGATGAGAGGGAGAAGGGGCGGGGGTGGGGGAGGGCAGGGAAGCAAAAGGAGGACGAAGCGAGGGGGTTGGAAGGGAGAACTGGGGAAGGGATGGGGGCTATTGTACGAGGGTGGTAGCCGCGGGCTCGGAGGGACGGGAGGAGGGGTAGTTAAGTGGGAACGTCGAGTGGCCATGTAGGAGAGAGGGGAGGGGGGTGATGGGCGGAAGTAAGGAGAACCAGTGTTGCTGGTTTTGCTGCGGAAGCGC